ATTATTATTAATTTAATATCGTAAGCCATTAGATAATTTCCATGCACCTCAGTTAGCGATTTCTCGTTGTTGTACTACCATATTCCTCGCAAGAACCCTAGTATAGAAGAGTAGAAACTAAATCCATCCCGTCGAATTTTGGTAATTTAATAGGTGTTTCATCTACACCGATGAACAGTCCGATACACTATCAGAGAAGTATTTTCCTAAGAACCTATATCTAAAGAAGTGCATTCACAGAGAAAATGTATTATGGATTAAATAGTATTATTAATTTAATATCGTAAGCCATTAGATAATTTCCATGCACCTCAGTTAGCGATTTCTCGTTGTTGTACTACCATATTCCTCGCAAGAACCCTAGTATAGAAGAGTAGAGACTAAATCCATCCCGTCGAATTGTGGTAATTTAATAGGTCTTTCATCTACACCGATGAACATTCCGATACACTATCAAAGAAGTAATTTCCTAAGAACCTATATCTAAAGAAGTGCATTCACAGAGAAAATGTATTATGGATTAAATAGTATTATTAATTTAATATCGTTTGTTTAATTATTTCAATTTTTATTAAAGAAAATATTTAGATTTTTAATCATCGTTAAAATGATTCATTCACTAGTATTCGAATGACAATAAAATAAGAAATAATGGTGAAAAAAATAAAATAAACTCTCACTTTTTATAATTTGTGTAAAAAATAAAAAATGATTTCATGACTGGTTTGACATCATTTATCTCTACTCTACGAACGTTCTGGAATATTGCTTTTTATATCCCTTATACTACGGCCTTAATAGATTTTTCGTGAATTTTCATTTAATCGACAAACTTTCTTTCAATTTCAGTTATACACTGAACTAAATAAATCTTCCTGTTTTTTTTAAATAAAATTTAAGAAAACTTCCAAAAAATATATAAAACTTTTTTTTAAATGTTTCACATATATTTTGAAACATGTCACTGATGAGTTTTTAATGAAATATTTTATTGTATTTATCAAGTTTTTCTTACATATCGTATACGTTTGTTTCTGACTATAAAAAATACGAATATATATGATATCAAGAGACCTTATTGTCTATAATTACATGCATGTTTGTAATGAGATTTAATAGATTCCGTTTTTATTATGACTTTTTATATTGTGTTTATATATAAAAAAAATCGGTGATATCTTGTCATAAGGTTTTTAATGTTAATCGAAGATAATCAATTGAATATATTCCAACAGTATAGAATATCTTTTTTGAAGTTAGTGAAACATTAACTTATAGGCTAAAGAGCTGGTTCATTCCTACAGTTATGGTAAGGTATCCTTCTTCAGCAGAATAAAGTTGAGATTGTTGGTAGGATATTTAACGAGGCAGCATGTACTGCGTTATCACCTTAACAAAATGGGTCTGTCCGAAGAAATAGATTGTCGAATCTGTTTAGAAACAGACGAGACTTCTATACACATTCTCTGTTACTGAGAATGTTACTGGGTCGAGACCTGCTCTCCCCTTCTGACATTAGGAGGTTCTCAACGGCTGACATCCTGTATTTTATTCGGAAGGCAGAATATCTTTTATTCGGTTAAGATCTGTTGTAGTACAAAAGATCAACCATAGTCGAACTGCTCCGCTCCGTTGGCAGCTGGTACCCTGTTAATTTCTATTCTATTCTATTATATCATTAACTTATTATAAAATTGCATATAACAGAAACAATAGGTGGTGTAGATCATAACTCAAATTAACTCCATATTCAATACCAACCATAAATCTTTCTTAATAAAACATGGATGACCATAAATCTTTCGAAGAATATTCCTCTCAAACGCTTTAAATGTTTCTCATTGCTTTTGGCCATTATTTCAGTCATATACTACATATATTCACTTTTACAAAATAAAATAATAATAGTATATTTATACTTCAATAATTAAAAAAAATTTTTCGTTGAATGAAAGATACCATCAATACAGCTGATGATACATTTTTCTACTTGACTACTTAAAAAATGCACACCTTTAAAGTAACTTGGGTAAACTTTTATCCTTTAAAAATAGCACAAAGTTCAAACACATAAACACCAAAAATGAAAATTGCAAAACGAAAAAAGAAAACCAAAAAGAAAATGTGTATAAAAAAATGAAAAGGAAATTATTTTACTCATTATGTGTTAGTATAATTTTCAACACACAGAATCCTTACGAACTAAGCCTTATTCTGCCAATATAAAATCAAAGTGATTCTCAACTAAAGTTTTGTTAACAGGGAAAGAAGAATACGCAAATCCTTTGTGTGTCATGTTTTTGTTATTGTGTCATAAAAAGGACAATGAAACAAGAAGAGAGCTTAAAAATGTAAAGGCAGAAAGAAAACATAAAAGGAGCAGGCATCGTCGTATAAACGCATGCTGTATTCGTAGTAGCGAAGTGAGAGCGAAATAACACTTGAGCGCGTGTTTTTTACGGCGAGAAAATAAAGGCGAATTCGTTGCTCTGTTAAAAAAAAATATGGCAACATAGGACAGGCAAAGACTATGAATGAAAATCATTGCGCTTTCGCTGGTGTGTGGTAGTTGTTGCTGCTTCTTACTGTTGCTGTTGCTACTGCTGTATATTGACTGCTGTATCCCAGCGGGACTTTCAGCGCTGAGGGAATCGATTCCCTCAGCGCTGAATGGTAATGCCTAGCGCTGATTATTCAAAGGAAACTCCTAATTACTTTAACACGTGCATGTCATTGCGGGCAAGCGCTGAATCGTTCGATTACCTTTTCGAATTTGTAATGCAACATTTCAGCGCTGACATGTTACGCTTACCTTTTTCGAATTTGTAATGCAACATATCAGCGCTGACATGTTCGCTTACCTTTTAAATTTTACCTATGCTATTGATTTTTAAATAAAATACTATACATTTTTTTGGATAAATTATATTTTATATTTATGTTTTATACAATTAAAATATTAATATTTACATAAAAAAATATAACATACTTATATATATGAATATTTTTCTGGAAATTGTTACTAAAACCTTGAAGAGATTTCCAGACTCGACTCGATCACTTGTTCCGGCTTACCATCTGTACTTAAAGCATCTGTAAATACAAAAGTATATTATTGTATACGCTAAAGTTAATTATGTACAATATATTATACCAAAAAGTGCTGCTGTCACATTCTCTAACGCTCTTAAGGACTTCTTGCCTTGGGTACCATTCTTCAAAATTCCAGGAAATTTTTCGCGTAATTGGTTGTTTTTTAATAACGCGTCTCATTGATGCAGTCTATAAATAACGTAATAGATGAAAAGAAATGTATGAATTAGTAAAATTGTTACATGTGAATATATTAATAAGTTGAAATTGAAAGTAAGAAACGTATATAATTTAACTTACAACTACTTCAACGGCAGTGATTTCTTCATTAAATTGAATTAAGTCCTCCTCAGTTTGAATTGTAAAATTTTCCAATTGAAACAGCTGACTACATTTTACCCCTTGCTTTAGAATGACTCGTTCTTGACGCAGTAGCATGTACATAATACAAAACAAAAATTTCAATTATCATTTTAAATATATTTACTTAATTTTGCATATACTTACAGTGAGTTTATGTGAAATTACAAATTATATTTTATTTATATTTTTGTTTTTTATTTGATTTTAAAAATTAAAAATTGTTCACTGTTCGCACTTCACTAAAATCAAAAGCAGACTAAATGTATACAATGTAGGCAAAACAAGAAATTCTTAATACTCATATGCTTTTCTTCTTCATTCTTTTATAATTTCAACCCCGAAATTGCCTATGTCGAAACAAAGAAAAATAAAAACGAAGAGCTATTACCTCCTCGCTTACTTTTTCAGCGCTGGCATAATGGTGCCGCTGGGATACTGACTACTGTTGATGCTGGTCCAGTGTATTGTGTTAATTGTGTATGTAAAGACTTTGTTGGTTGGTTGACAACGAGAAATATCTTGCCTGCGGCACGGTTATTAACAAGGCTAACTAAAATAATTGATTTATTAAAAAATAAAATTACAGAGTGGATTGAAAAAAAATAATAAACTATGTGTGGAATCCTTTAAAATTAAGTGTAACTCTTTATCAGAGCTGAATAGTTGTTAATAACAATTAATTCATAAAAAAATTTATATTAAAACAACAAACAGAAATGCTAAAATTTTCACTAAAAGTGTTTATTAATGTATTTTTATAATTTGTGAAAATAAAAATTATAATTTATACATTATTTCCATTGCTTAAATATTAGAAATGATTTTAAACTAACAAAAAAGAATATCTCTACAATAGGAATTAGTTTTTTAAATTTCATTTTAAAAATTTAAAATGAATTTAAAAGTTTACTCCCTATTTAATATTATTTCGTTTTATTTCAATATATAACAATATAAATTTTTTTTAATATTAATTAATTTTTAAATTTTCAGTGAAGAAAGAGGCATAAATACTTTAATAAATCGTACACCAAAGCCTTAAAAAGTTAGTGTGACAATTTCTAAATAAACTTATTAGAAAATTCAAATAATTTAATTTACAACTAAAAATATAGATACTTAATATTAATAATATAATAATATATATATTTAACAAAAATATAATTTAAAAAATTTCGCACATACACTCCACCACGATTAAGCTAATATAATAAAAAAATTGTAAATATTAAAAATAAACTTCAAATATCTGCAATAAAACAAAAAATTATTAACAAATCAACAATTTCAGCATTTTTTTAAACATAATTTTTATTATAATTCGCAATTTTTACATGTTAAGTGTTTTAAAATTATCAATCAATCAATCAATAAATGCGTAAACATAATAACACCTTCGCTTAATTAATTATAAATTTAATTATGTAATTTAAAAAAAATCCAAAAAACAAAAAAAGAATGCAACAAAAATAAATAAATTTCATAATGATATAGCTTAATTTTATATATATAAGTAATAGTAATTATTATACAAATTAATTAAAACACCAATAAAAACGCTTCTTAAATAAGAAAATCGGTTTAAGTATATCTAATTTAATATTAGCTGCAAAAATCGTATAGAACAATCACATTTACTGCTACCGAAGCGAAAGGATAACGCTGCATAGAGCTTCATTGACGGATTCTCATTTTAAATAATCAACATTACTTTAATTCCTCATTGCGTTAGTTAATAAAAACAAATCGCCTAGCATCGATTAAAGGTAAATACTATATAATAAACTTTCTTATTTTACTGCTTAAATTCAGTATAAATTAATAATAGTTGAAAAAAAAATAGTAGTGTTTTATTTTTTCATTAATATTTTGTCATGTGAAAGAGTGTAGCAAAAACATAGCATGGAAAGTCGTTCTCTTCCAATGCATAAACAAAATATACCTTCCAGTAATTTCTCTGAGAGGACGAGAAAGGACAACAATTTTCATTGTTGTCTAAGATGAGTGTATTTGGTTAACACATGTTTTTAAATCTCAATTCCAAGGAATTGTAAGGCAGCACGAGTACGTAGAACTTTCTCTCCTCTACTAGAAAATTGTTCATATGTTTTTTGTTTCGTTAAGTTTTCAATAAAAAAAATTTAATTTTTTTGTCCAAATTATAGGACTGCATTACTTAATTCCTTACTATATAAATATATAATGTTTTATGAGATTCCTTTTAATAATATATTTTAATAATAAAATATGTTTCAACAGCTGCTTTTTGTAAAAATTAACTACAGTCAAAAGTTTTAGATTATTTTTAGACCCAATAGGTCAAGTAAAACCTAAAAAGGAATTTTTCTTTTAATCATAGCATTACTTAATTCATTAATATATAGCATATATAACCCTTTGTTAGATATATATTTTAAAAATTACAGTTTTAATAATCAAAAAAATTTATTTTATTTTTTTTAGTTTGAAAGAGCTAATTCGTCAATTATTTAAATAATACACAACTTTTTAAAAATTTTATTTCATCAAAAATTTTTTTTTATATAGATTATAGCCTATAGACATCTTCATGCCATCTTAAAGATAATAACTGACTAATTAGTTGCTCTTTGTATAAATTATTTACATTGGAAAGTAATTATATATAAATATTAATAAATATAAATATTATCTTCAAATCCGATAGGTTTATTTCAGACCAACAAAAATTATTTTTGTTTATTAACTGAAAAACTAAAAATAAATTATTTCCAATAATATTGTATACATAATGACTAATGAAACTATAATTATTATATTTCATATTGAGTTGAAGCATAGAAATATATTATTAATTTGAAGCATTTTTTATATATGCAATTATAAATATTTATATTATTTATAACACAATATGTTCTGCATTATTATTTGTTAAATAGAGTATACTAAAAATTTTATTTTAATAAATTATAATATATTATAACTATTTTATTGAAAGTTTTAACTATGTATGTTCATAAACCTTTTTATTCGATTTTTTTGGTTATATTGTTATACAATTATAACTTTAAATATATAATATATAACTTTATATATATAATATATAACTTTATATTTATAAATTATATAGTTCAAAAAGTAGAATATATAATTAAAAATGTATCTAATCTAGGTTTCGGTTTGGTTGATATATGTGGCAACTTTATGCACCAAAGCTCACTGGAGTCTAACTAAATATGTGTTGTGATAATAGAAATATGCATTGTTTTAATAACATATATAAGGAACTACTAAAAAAAAGAATATAGAAATTGTCAGCCTATTGACAACTACGACTATACCTCATATTTAGTTAAAAATTTAGTCTTTATTAGAAATATTTAAAATAATATATTATATGGTATATAATATTTTTTCGTTTTTTAATATGGCAGTTTCTTGAAATTTCTTGATATAGCAAATCCAGTAAATTTTTAAATTGAATTGCTTGAAATTTCTTGATATAGCAAATCCAGTAAATTTTTAAATTGAATTGCAATATTTGTAGTATGATTTAAAAAGGTTCCTCACTATTCCACTAGAAAATAATTCAGTAATTAATTATCTCTGATTAAAAATATTATTACATTATTGGCGTGGAACATTGGTATATAATATTTATGTATGTTTTTAGAAAAAATAAGGTGTTTATACATTTAAACGTTTTATTACGTCAAGTCTATTAAAGAATGTCATACAACCATCTTTCAGAATTTAAAAAAAATAAAAAAAAATAATAAGAATTTAATAGAATTAGTTATTCTATAAAATCATCTGAATAACTTATACTCAAAATTAAATGTTGCTCTTATTATAGTGACTCCTCTAAGTTATCGCCGACACTATTGAGTAAAAGTGCTTTAAACATTTTGGTGTCTATCATTTAGAAATAGTATTTAAATAAAAAAAACTGACTTCCAATATTAGCAATACAGAAGTATTTTATTCTTTTGTTTCTTTTTTTTTTACTTTCTTGGTATAATCATAAGGAGGGAAGTGCTTTTTATCAGTTTCTCTTCATCAGTATAGTACTCGTATATTAATAAATGTCGCATACATATAATTCCTTCATTTGTTTACGAAGAAATGGAGTATCTCCGATCTATTTAGCATAAATACAAAAAGTGATTTATAAATAGTTGAAAAAGAGATTAAAAAAATAACATAAAATAATATACTTATATTATTTATAGTATAAATAAAATACTTACATGTTCGGATAGAAAATTAAAGCAAATCCTCCTCTTTTATATTCTACATTAAATCCAAATACCAATTCTAATACCCCTTCTGCAAAATCAGAAGGACTTGGTATTCAAATAGATTCTATAGTACAGGGATTCGGGGCATATTTATTCATGTTTGCAGAAAACGTCATTCACAAAAAATTTTTGAAATCAGTTTTGAAATCAGATATATAAACATAAATATTTCAAATATTAACATACTTTATTAATTTGTAAAAGTTTAACTTCTAAGAATTTTACTATTATAAAGTATAGTTTTCTAGTACGCGACCGTTAGAGGGAGCTAAATGTTGCTTTTTTAACAAAAATACACCAATTCATTAGTGTGTATGAGTATAAATGATTATTAAAAATCATATAACTATAATTCATAATTATATAATAAATATGATATAATTGAATGGCGTAGTTGTAAACTTTACAAATATTTGATATAGATTTATTAAATACTTATAGTTATCTAGCTACACACAATTCAAGTGATTAAAATATAATATTAAATAAATAAAAATATGATAAATATTATAATAATATAATGATATTGCAATGACTTTGAGTTCACAGGTTTATTAACAATTTTGTTTACCGATTAATTATTTGTTATCAATCAGGCGATAACAACAACAAGACCGTAAACTAAATTGAATAAAATGGCTTTATTAGGTTATTATTTTATCAATTGCGTTAAATTAAAATAATGCAAATATAGATATATCTGCTCTTAATTTGCATTTAATCAAAGAAGCAGTATTATTTAATGTTTGATAAAAGCACCAGATATTTATATATATATTAATCAAAGGTTTACGTCTTTAAGTCATGTGTGGATGACACTTAGCACATAAATATATAATAGACACAAAAATGATAGTAATTAAAATATGAAAGTACTGCTAATATTTTAATCTAAAATCCAAAGATCTATAATTAATATATACAAAAACACAGCGTTTTTTATAAGTTCTGAATATATGCACACAAATTCAATAACGTCTATTAAACATTTTAATTTTCTATTTACATAGCTTTATATACAAGATTAGGTTGGGTTGTGTCTTTGGCCTATAGGCCCATTTTGATACCATATGACACAAGACTCAGAAGTTTAAAATCACTTTGAACCTTTGGCTAAATTTATAATGCTATTTAAGGGAAGGTCTTACAGTTGATCAAGATCTTCAAAAAAAAGGCCTCTAGAGTGGTAATGCCCGCGTATATACTGAACAAAAATATGGTAGATAGAAGGCACTTTCATCGTCTTCTCCACAACTGCTGCTGGTATAATTAAAAGGAAGATTCAATGTTCTATGAGTAAATCTATTAGATGACTGATATCTCCGGGTATTTATAGAAAGTTTTGGATTTCCTTTTAATAAAACATGGCCAAACTGCATACAGATGCCTATATATAATTGAGTCTTCCCATATCTTATTAAAAAGTTCAACACAGAAAGCACTCAGTTACAATTTGCATGATGTCAGCGATATGCTCAGTTATTGCTTAAAAATACCATAAATTTATATCCTTGTTTTGATTCCTTTAGCCAGTGATCATAAATAATTGGTTTTATGTATGGTTAATTTTTAATCCTGTTTGGACTTGTAGTTTTAATTTTTAAACGCAATTAAATAATAATATATGTATATAATATGATAAATATGTAGTAAGTTTTCGTAAACAGTCTTCTTAATTTATAATCGATAATATCGATATTTACAATCGATAAATAAGTAAAGAAAATATTTTTACATAAAATTAAAACTACAAAAAAAATAGAACCAAAGAAATATAATAACAGTTCTATGAAAATAGATAATTATCGATAGGTAAAACACTTTATAAAAGATATAATTATGTTTAATCTGTTTAAAAACTGATACTAAACTATTAAAATAATATAAAAACATTCGTTTATTACTATTTATTTATTTTTTTTTAATAAAATGGTGAACTTAGGAATGAGTTTTTTTTATAGATAACCACAATTTGTTTAATTTCTCATTACTGATGGACTTGTTAGAACGCTCAGACTTTACGTTATATTCAATATTTTGCGGTATTCCTGAAAACGTTTTTATCATTCCCCAAGTTATGATTGTGATATAATATCATCAGCAAAGGGCTTTTTTTAGCATTTCAAATGTTTTGTGGTACTTAATTCCAATTTTTAATACAAACTAAGCACCGCAGTAGCTTGATATATTTCACGAATTCAACTGTATCTACAAGATACAACAAAATTCATGTAATCTATAGTTGAAACACCATATCAGCAGTTAAGAACTGTCATCATGTATACTAACAAACTGAAATTCACTCATTTAGTTTTAATATCAGATGTACCCTACATCTATATAAAAATTGGTTTTATTGAAGTAAAAATATAATAGCTTAACCAAGAAGCAAAATATGAAAAAAGGACATTCATTTAGGTATAGAAACTTTATTTTCCCAAATATGACTAATCGGTTGTGTTGTATTACAACCCCTTTTTTGAGCAAAACATAATATATAGTATAGTACATATTATATAAAATATTTATTTCGTATAAAAAAGTAACAAGGATAGTATTTAGTATTAGTATATTAGTATTTAGTAAAATCCCAATTATACCTGATTTTCTGTTCTATCAGTATATATTGTACTTATAAGGATATATCATATAAACTGAATTAAATTACTTACATTCTTTTTCACTTATTATTTTCTAAAGAGGAGATATTGCGATCTCCTCTGATCTGAGTTCACATCCGTTTAGACTAAGAAATCTGGCAGCAATTTTGTTGTTTACTTTTTATGTTTGAATAGTCTTAGTCCTTTGATAGGAGCCTATACTTTCATATAGTTTTTATATTTTAGTCTTTAAGTGTATGTATTAATACTCAATACACCATTATTGATATTAATTAATAATAATATTAATAAAATATAATCAAACTTCTGTTTGATTTCATTTGTTATTAATTAGTGTTATTATTTGTAATTAGAAAGCAATTTATCATATAGCTTAATTATTGCTTCTTAAATTAACCAATCTATGTCAAAATTGTGTATTCAAATGACCTTTAATAACCTCTAATTCATCACATTGTTTTAATTTGTCTTTAACTTTATGACTTGATCACATGAATTTAAGTCACTTTAACGTTCTGAAAAATTGAACAATCGTCATGAACTCAAGTCACACCGTTCTTTCATTAATTCCATCTATATTCATTTATCCAATAAGAAAATAAACTTGTAATTCTAGTCTAACTCTTAACAGATATTTATCATAGTATAAACTCCTATACTCGTATATGTATAAATAGTACCTTTTTAACTTTTACTTCATTTCATTTAAATACTAGTATTAAAAATAAATTTTAAAACTCTTTCTCAGTTATTTTTGAGATATTATGCTAGATTATAGTATATTATAATTAAGTATTCAGAATATATACAATATGTTTTTGGTACTATCTGACAGTCTTGTTTTACTGGTTTATATTCAAATAAAAAGGAATATTTATTTTTATCGTTACAGATTTAAAACAATTTTTATATAAAATTAATTTTAAGTATAAAAGTCAATCAGAATTATATATTGCATTTATTTATTATATTATATTCATATTAAATTCATTCATTCTATATCATTCTATAAAATCAATATACATAATGAAGTAAGTAAGCACATATAAATTTAAGCTTCAAACTTAACAAATATATTTCAAAGTTTTGAAATTTATATGTACTTACTAAATAAAATTTTTAAAGTTAATTATGATGAAAGAAAACTATTTTATTAATAGAAGAGTTTTTGAGTAGTAATGAATCGTAAGAACAAAATTATTTTTATTTTTAATCAAATTTTTTGGTTAACTGTACAGATGTTTGAAGTATTGCTAAATTTTCATCATTAGTACTCCTTAAAAATATCCGTTGCTTTTATAAGTTTATATAATATATGTTGGTTGGATTACAAGTAGTAGATTTTGAACTTTGAACCTCTCAAATTAAAACAATGACTTCGAGTATTTCAATCAAACGAGCCAAATCTATCTGAAATTTTCGCTGTTTCAATATCAAGTTTTTTTTTACTGCTTTTACTAAATTCTTAGAATATCACACTACTATTCAATATCACTACTATTTATATTATAAAGAATTTCCTAACTTTAATATTAAATTGTTTCGTGAATATTACACTACTATTCAAAAATCCTATAATATGTATTTATGTTATTAATTTACAATTTAAATCAAATGAATTTTTATACATTATAAAATATTTTCTAACTTAGACATATAATTATTTAATAAATATTAATTACAACTATTAACTATTACAACTATTACTCTACTAAGGTCGTGTGCGAGTTAGGCTAAGTTGCATTCTAAATGAGGGAAATTCTAACTTGTGCCGGTAATGTAGTGATATGTCGATACGTGTTGACAAATGGCTAAATATGTGCAGTGCAAAAAATCCCAAAAAATTTTCCATTTGGTTTAGCATCAACTTAGCCTAACTCGCACACGTCCTAAATACTATTGTATTTAGTAAAGAGGTTTCGAAAATTAGTAAAGCACAACAACAAAAATTTCTTTTTATATTATTTTTTTATAATAGTATATTAACATAATAGTTTTTCTATTAATAAATATTTTTTGTTCAATATAAAAATATTGTATGTATTAATTAATTCACATTTTATATCGATAGAACTCTCAACACTTTAGGCGTTATAGAACGCCTCCAAACTATGTCTAATCGAATATTGTCTCTTACCAGCTTTATTTTATACCCAAATGCATTTGTTTTAGTTTCTTTGTGTTTTTCCAAAATGTCATTAAACTGTTCAAATATTTCTCCCTTCTTAACGAACTAACTCACTGCAGTCTTTCACAGAACAACTTAATCCAATTTCAGAGTTTATTGACACTTGTTTATATATTTAAGCAATAAATTGATTAATGATTGCTTGCTTTATTTTCATTAAAAATGTAAGAAAAAATCAAGAAAAATTGAAAAATCGACTTAACAGTCATTTTTCTTTATATTCGAAAAAATAAGTAAATAAATAGATTAAACATTAAAAATCCATTAAAGAGGAAAATTTTATATACAATGTAATTTTTTTGTTTTGTCTCTTTCAGTATTGTGACTGCCGGCGGGCGCTTCTCGAAGATGGCGCCTCGGATATAGTTGTTAATGTATATGTAGCAGGCGACATCCATGTGCCTCATGTAAGTTAAAAAATAGTTGGATTATTGTTATTTTATTATATTTTTTATATAAAAGTTTTGGTGTTGACAAATTTAGGCCTTGGAAATCTGAGGCTCTCATCGTTGGCCGCATAGACAATGACAGAAGATTCCGACTCGATATCTGAGGAAGAACGCAGTTTGTTCCGTCCCTTCACCCGCGAATCATTGGTGCAAATAGAACAACGTATTGCTGCAGAACATGAAAAACAAAAGGAGCTGGAAAGAAAGAGAGCCGAGGGAGAGGTGGTAAATATTTAATACTATTGATGTCTGTGTGTATGTTTTAATATTTGTTTTATTTATTTTTAAATACATATATTTATATATATACATATAAATATTTTTGTACAAAGTTTATATACATAATAACTATTTTCTAATCTTAAACCCTTTCCATAGTGTTTTAACAAAGTGAAAATCTATTTCTAAAGCAATTGTAATTTGTAAATTATTTCTATAATCCTCTAGTAACCTTTTTACTAGGCAAAACCATTTCAATTTGCCTTAGTGTTTATAAAGAAGTAATTCCATTTATTTCTCAATATAACCTAGTATAAATAGCATTTAACCATTCCCGCGTTAAGCACTTTACATTAATTCCTCGTACATTTCTCATTAAATTAGTAAATCCAACATTTTTAAACATTTTTAAAATTAAAATAGAAAAATTTCTCTCAATTTTTGATTGATCCTGACATATTAACGTTTCAAAAAAAAAAACGTATCCTTGCTAACAACTCATCGATTTCGTTTCGCATTTCTCAATTGTCCATTGTCTCAATTGAGTTTTTTTTTCATATTTCGGTTTAATATTTATGTCTTTTTTTTTTTTTTTGGTTTAGTAGTTCTTAGAGTTTTCTACGAGTACTTCCAATTCTTCAAAAACTTCCAATCAATTAAGTAAAATTTAGACGATTTGCACATTTTTCCTTTAGTTTCCAAAACTTTATATGTTAAATGTTGTTGCATTTTAAAATTGTTCAGAACTTTGTAAAACTTGTAATTTTTGACTATCGTAGATTTGAGACTTAATTAAAAAATTGTATATTCCAAAAGTAATTACTAACTATACTATAATTGTAAATGTAAAGTAAACGTAGAAATACTCTGTATATTTATTGTAATTAATTTTGTACTTATGAGGAGAACCGCTCTTCTCCGCTATTCTTCATTTTAATTATTTTTTTGTAAATAATTGTTTAGTATGAGAAAAGTTTAAAAATTTTAACTAATTGAATATAAAATATTGTTGTTCGCTTAAAATTAATACTTATTTTATATTGAGTTTGAATTTAATTCAATAAATGTGTGAAAAATGTATTTATTCCATTAATTTTTAATTTTTTACTAATATTCGATATGTGTCTAGTACATAATCTAAAGAATAATTTATACATAAATTATATTATTACAGAATCCATGTTCTTTGTTGTATGTTATTGTTGTATTATATATCTATTGGCTTAACAATTTATCTTTTAATAATTATTACTTTCCATAACTTCTTATATCTTGTAAGAAACTATTTAAAGACACTAATTCTAAAATAACCTTTTTTTTTTCTTAACTTCTTATATATTTTAAATTCTGTCTTTGATTTTTATTTGTGTAATTTTTGTTCTTAATTGTCATATATGTATTACTGTTAAACCATTTTTATGAACCAAATGAATTTTTAGATAGAAAAAAATTTATTTAATATATTATAAATTTATCAAAAAACAAAACCTATGGAAAATGTTCATTACTGATTTACTTGACGATAGTACCGTGGACAAAATATTTTAGAAAATATAGGTAACGTCAGCCTCACAAATATATTATGTTACATTTGCTAGAAAAAAAAACGTTTAACTCAAATTTAAAAAAAATAAAAAGAAATTAAAAAATATTTCAATACTTCAAATAATTACACATTGGAATAGGAAACTCAATATCATCCTGACCATAACTAAAGACTGGTTATATTTTGTGTTATAATAAATAAAATGTATTTATTTTAGAGACCATTTAGCGAACTTTTGCTCAATGCATGGTAACCGATACTGGGAAAACCCAATTCCACACTCCCTATACTACTGGTAAAATATTATACCAAAGTCAAATCTTTTATTTATATATAAAATATAATACAATATATATAATATAATCGTTTTCGAGACAATTTGACGAATTTCTGTTCAGAGTATGGTATAGACTCTCCTCTTTCAACCTCTCAACATTACGGTCAGAACCACTACATTCAAATCAAATCTTTCATTACTGAATTAAGTCAGTTGTTGTTATCATATATTAGACTAGCGTCAAAACCTATCGTAATATCTTTCTTCCACAATTGCTTTCATGAAACATATATTTTTATTTTAGGTATAATAAAATTAAGATGTTTTTTTAATAAATCCAGTATAAATCCAATAAATTGGATAATATATTTTGCGTACCGTACGTTTTTATATGCCATCAATGGGAATATATTCTATATATAAATGCAATATAAAAACATTTTGAGTTAAATTTTGCCTTTCATTGATATAAAAATTTGAACAATACTGTACCGCTTGAATTAGTTGCCGATTACTTACTCATATAATCCAAATGCGATCACTACCAATCCTAAAGATATGGTATTCTTACACCGTCCGTTTAGTGATCCGCTTGGTTCACGTTCTTAATAAACAGTAAAATTGCTCCAGAAATAATGAAAAGACCGTTGATCTCTTTATTCCCGGCTTTATTCTATATCGAGTCAGCTTTCTTAATACGATATCGTAGAGTATCGTAGAGTACTGATTTGTTTCTTCATATACATAACTGCATCGCATATTAGCTTTACTGGTTATTCGTTGTAAATGAAAGGTCTTGCTGTTCTTAGAAATGACTTTTAATAATGTTGATTTTCTGTTAAAGAAATTGCGACAATTTTTAATAACATAATTTTATATATTATATTAAAATTTCGCTATAGCCAAAGTTGTTTCTTCATTGCATATAAATACATATGACTTTTATGATTTTGGAAGTTAAAAATTTCTTTACTATATCACTAATGTAATAATACGCAATAATATATATTGATCTCTTTTTTTCATATATTCTATATAAAATATATATCTATATCATAGAATATAAAAAATTTAATTAAAATAATAAAAGAGTAGCTGAATCAATAGATGTTTCCCATAATAAGACTACTATTGATGCTTATTTTGGTATTAGTATTATTTTGATTTTGTTATTAGCCAAAACAGTATAGTATAGTCAGCCTATGCTTTAAAGATTTGATTTTCAAACCTGAAAATTTCTGCACTATATATATTACTATCTTTTCTTTTCGAAATATATTTCTTTGTAATTTTGGTTTTAACTTTTGAAGCTGTTATGTCCAAAGTATTTTAAAATCGATTTTGTTTTTTAAGGAATTTTAGCTTCTATTTCAATAGTTATTTTTTATATATACCTATACGTATTTCGGCAAATTCTCTTTTGCCTTCAACAGAAGAATTCCTAATATTAAAAACATCTATGCAATTTACAGACTTTGATATATATATGATTCTTATATTCCGTCGGGTGCTAGTATCCCGTTTCTTTCTACTTTTAATACTAAAAAGTATAATTTTATGTTTAACCACTTTGAGCTCAAATGAACTCGAATAAGAATATTATTATTTGTTTAAGTTTTTGTTACAGTACTATTTAGAGTTAGATTTTTTAAAATGGGTTGGAAAGTTGTCACCGCGTCACTGCATCCTTTGAGGATTATTGTGACACTTCAGTTCCATAGACGAGTAACAGTTAAGAACGCCAATATGTCCTTTGAAGAGATGTTGCCTAATTCCGTTATAAGCGGATAGACAGTGGATAAGTACCGAAGTCTGACAGTGACACAAAATGTGTTCTGCGGTTTCCTCTTCTTCGCAACACAGTACTATTACATTCTATTAATATTGAAACTATATATAAAAATCTAATTTTATTTATTTTCACACACTCAACTTGTACAATATTAAAAAAAATATTAAAACAAATGACGGTTATCAAAAATAACTTTATCCTTCGAAAAAGTACTATTAGTACTATTACATTCTATTAATATTGAAACTATATATAAAAATCTAAAATTTATTTTGACACACTCAACTTGTACAATAAAAAAAAATTAAAAAAAAAATTAAAACAAATGACGGTTATCAAAAATAACTTTATCCTTCGAAAAAGAAAAACAAATTTAAAGTTTCGTAAAAAAAAAATAATTAATATTTGTAGTTTCATAACTCATGTCGCATTTGCTTGTTTTCAAGGACTTTAATGACTTACGATTTCATTTGATTTGCGTTGAGATACTTCATTCTGACGTAAATTCGCATCCAAATGAGTCATGCAGACATCCAGGCATTTCGTTTCCAATATCCAACTTGATTATGTGTTGACTCATACAGAAAACAACAAAGACGAAGATAAATTCTGTAACTTCTGTAAATTCTGTTTAATTTGGTTCATACAAAATAGTTTTAAAACTTTTCTCTATAAATATATATTTCTATCTTTTAAGTGAATATACAATTTTTCATTTATTCTTATTATAATTTTTGTATTGTGTAAATAACATTTTAGCTACAAAAAGGAATCATTTATAGTTCATTTGCATCTTCATTACAAACTTCGTAACTTAGCGATAACAGATTGCGACTCATATCAAAATAAAATAGATACAAAATAGCAAACGATTAGATATCACAGAACTGTTGCATTTGATAGATAAAATTTTTAGTTCACAATTTGATGCCATCTATTCTTTAATCAAATTAGAAGTACTACTCACTTAGAAAAATTGCATAAAAATTTGTGAATACGTTTTTTTAGCAGCCAGAAAAAAAAACCTAGTTAAACCATTAACGATTTTAACCATTAACCATTAAATATTAATAAAAGTTTTTATAAAATATTTGATTAAAAAACAAAACTTAAAAAAAAAAAAGAAATGGTGAACGTTTTACATACATTTTGTTTTCTTTTGTTTCTCTCTTTTTATTCTCTTTCTCCCTCTCTCCTTAAAATCAATAAAATTGTTATTTTTTATTTACTTTTCTTGTGTGTAATTTGCCTAATGAACGCAATTCTTTTTTATTGCTTCGTCATCGCTTGGCGTCAAATCGTCGTCAAATCATCGTAAAAACGTTGTTTTTATTGAAAAAAATAACAACCAAAATGAACCAAAATAAACCAAAATGAACCAAAAAAAAACAACTAAAAATAAAAATAAAAATAATTGACCAAATCCTATCAAAATTTTAAATGGCTAACAAAAAAAAATCATTTAAAATAAAATCTTCTTTCAGCCGCAATATGGTCGCAAGAAAAAGCAAAAAGAAGTAAGATTTTTCAGAAATAGCTTAAATTTTTCAATAATTTTTTATTTTATTTTCTCAACTTTTCTATTAAATATTATTAAAATAATATATATTTCTTAAATCATTTTGAAATTGAAAAAAAAATTAATTTTTATTAAAATTATTTTTATTTTAAACTATATCAATATTTTCTAAATATTTTATACAAATATTTTTTTTTAACTTATATATAAACATATTTATACTTAAACTCTACACACATATTTTTTTTGAAAAAACACTTTTAACTTATTTAGATTAATTTTAAATATTTTTAAAAATATTTTAAAAAAAATTTTTTTTTGCTTATGTATTATAAAAAGGCTTTTCCGATACTATAGGCTTAAGATATATAATGCTTAACGCTTAAAAAGTACCAAATTGTAAATAATGCAGGGGATGAGTACTAAGAAGCTTAGATGCTATACTTATATATTTATCTAGATGGGAATAAAATATTGAGCATCTTGAAAGATTTTTGAGCACCTTAAATTACCTACATATACAGTTAAATATTCTATATAATATGAATTCAAGTTGTTTATCATAAATAAAGCTTCTTTTCTTGACAAAAGAAAAATTCATTAATTAAAAGTTGTAAGTTAAAACTTAATGTATGATTATTTTGAAATGGTAATATATTACTTCATACCATTATGTATATTTTACATCACGCCCTTAATTTAAAAATGAAAGACCTAAAATTGTTAGGAAATATGATTAGTAAATAAATAATTGCAGTTTATCTTGAGAAAATATAGCCCTTTTTATTAAATAACTTAGCGGAAAAATAATTTTAATATTGTTTAAAATTTAATAAATTTCTCTACGCACATTTTTTGATTGAGATAAAAAGTTAAACAAAAAAAAAATATTAATTAATACATAAAAAATGTTTATATTCAAACAATAAATTATAATAATAATATAATAATGTGTTTGTATACATTATATAAATTTAAAATGAAATAATTTCTATAATACAAATTAAGAGTATAAACCTTTCTTAGGCTTCAAAACGCACCGACCGTCATTTTACCCTACAACAGACCGATTAATCATTTGCTTAAATAAAAATATAGAAATGTAAAGCACTGTATATATTACAACCAATAAAATTATTTTTAAATTTAAAGGTTTAATAAACACTTTAACCTACTGTTGTGGTTCAATATCTTATCTTGAAGTAAGGTTCTTGATAATAAATATAACGATTCTTTTAGTAATAATCAAGTACTGATGGTTAAGAATATATGTGCTAATATATACTAAAATAAATTAAAGTTATAATTAACATAATAAATACATTTTCCAAATATATAGATATCTCTCTCAAATCGTTATTGTAGCACATAGCTAAGACTACAAGAGTATTACTTTTGCTTTAATAAAATCACAAGTAATAAAATAGTATTCCAATTGTGAAAAATATATTGCAGTGTATTTCAGAAAAGGACAATGACAGTGGTTTTCAGTATTTGATTTTTTATTGTTCAGTAGCTTTTCTTAATGAAATGGTAAAGCTTTGAGGTTTATTACATTTTAATGCATTTTTCTCCAAAGAAATAGAGTTATGGTTATAGCTAAAACCATTTTTAAAAAGTGCTTGTTTCAAAAACATCAGAAACAATTTTTAAGATGTGCATTACTACCAACAGAACTAACAAATAGACTTAAGCTTTAATATACATTGTAATATACTTTCTTTCTTACAATTCTACACATAGATCTCGTTCCGAGAATCTCATTCCAGTGTATAGCTTCTTTTTGTTAGTGACATATTAAAAGGCACTCTAAACCTTACGCGAATTTATCAACCGGTTAGGATGGCTTTGAATATTGGAAATCATAAATCTTGTGTCCAGATGTGTGTAAAAAAAATGTTATTGGCACTGAAAAACAAAAGGCTCTATTGCCATTTTTACTTATCAATTAAAGGACAAACAATATTAAAATTATATATTTCTATCAATGAAATTCATAAATAATAAATTAATGAATAAATATTGCAATATATCTTTTATATTTTAAATTAAAAAAAGTCGCTTCAAATATAAGCCATATTTATCGACAGTTTAAAAATTGTAATTCCTTGAACTTATCTCCGGATTTATGTCTAAAAAGTACTGTTTGAATTAGGAAAGGCTCTGTTGCCACTTTAACTAACCAAATAAAAGCATAAACAATATTAAAATTATATATTGCTAGAATTATGTATAAATACTGCAAAATACTATATATATTTTGAGCAAAAATTGAGGACTATTTTGATTGAGAACTATTTAAATGCATTTATTGCTGTTCAAATTTTATAATCAACATTATAATCCCATGTAAAAGCAAATTGAGCTAATACATGAAAATGGACTCTATTTAAAAAATAGGTTCTATTTTTATAATGGCCTCTATTTTAAAAATAATAATAACCATTCTTCTAATTTTACTATTAAACATCACTGAACAAAAGCTTAATATTAAAATTGATGTAGGTACTCCAGCAGCAAGGGAAATGGACTATTTCAAAAAACCATAATGTCCACTCTTTCATATTTAAGCGCTTCAAACGCAATAACGCAAACTAATAATACATCACTGAATAGGCATGACGCTTATACAATATTAACTCTTAATCTATTTTTCAAACTATTGCTTTTATATTTTAAATATCTAATACTACCACCTCTCTAACTAATTCCTACTAACTATTTATAACTTTCAACCGCTCAATAACCTACGCTATCTTTAATAATTTAATTTTGCCAGAATACATTTTTTTTCAATAATAATTTTAAAAATATATTTTTTAATGGCACACGCACATTCTATTTTCATTTTACCTTAACCTTCTAAATTTGGCTTGATACCACGATATTTTGTACCTTCCCCGCTCATTAGACATCTCAGCTGACACGCATATTGTGTGCAATTGTGTGCCATTAATTCTAGAAGACATTAACCAAAAACATGACTGCTTTTTGTAATACGCTTTCCAAGCGACGTACACTTGCACTTCCTATGCCGTCACCGACCCACTACCGAACCACTACCGAGTCACTACCGACCCACTCCCGAGCACATGTCGCCTGCCTACTTTTGGCCAAGTTTAAACTAACGTCTAAGTGTTGTCGTATATAAGCTCACAGACGACCAAGCCAAATAGAGAAAAGAAATCCTATGACATTTATTGCTTGGCTTGGTCCGAATCGTTATCGCATTAGGCGCAAGTAGGTTTTTGTGTCAATTGCTAAATATGCCAAAAAATATAAAATATTCGTACGAAATGGAAATGTAACCACTTTGGTGTTGCTTGTTGGTGTCTAATAATTTATTTATTTAAATTTTGTTGCTTATGTGTCCTATATATCCTAATAGTTGCAAACATTATCCTTATGGTTTTTATTTTAATTTACATAATGTTGTCAGTTTATGTGATGTGTTAATTTTAAGTTGATGATTCAAACTGTGAGGATGTACTCTACTCGTTTCTCCTCAGCTCATTTGAAATGCCTGAACCCCAAATTTTATTTAATTTTCATATAAAATTTTTTTGCTTGCTTTTATTTTGAAACAATTTTATTTATATAAAACTGAAGAAAACTGAAATAAAACTATTAAATAGGTTAAGTAATCCTATAAATAGATTTAAACTGCATACAATATTAGAAAGCCTATTGGCTGGTTTAGAGGATAACATAGATTTAAATGGCATTTCCGAATATGTTTAATAATAAATATGAAACCTAGAAACACGATATATACATACATAAGTCACATACAAATAGTTTAAGTCAATAAAACAAAAATATAAATATATAAATAAGAATAAAACTAAAACTAAAAAGTAGTTGTGAAGAAACTTAAGGGAAATTAGGTCAGTTTTCTTTTGACCATACTATGCAGATGTCTGATGATTTGTTTATAAAAGTGCAACTGCACAGTTCCACTTTACACGAGTACACGTAACTGCAGTTCATGCCATGAATTTAATGGGTTTTTAGACAATGTAAGTGACACAGGACATGGCGCACGTACTGCAGGGCGTGGTTGCATTTGCATTATCTGTACTACAAGTACTGTTACTGTAGTCAGCAAGTAAGCAAGTAAGCAAGTAAGCACATAAATATGGTTACACCCATTCAAGAGTAAAGATATTTATTATATTAAATAGGACACAATGAAGTAAGTAATGGTAAAAGTATCAAAATACGATTTTAGTTTAGTTTTAATTTGTAGTGAACTTTTTTTTTTTGATTGTTATGAGATATGTAACCAGTAGTGGCTAAAAAACAAAAGTAGTAGTAATTATCTTAAGTCAACAAGTTTCATACAGATTTTGTGTAACTTTCTGTAAAATTTAATTATAATAAATTTTAATTAAATCGATTAATATAAAATATAAATAAATCATAATGAATAAATGCACTCGATTACAGGACACATGAATAAAATTAGAAGAATGTTTATAAATAACTCGTGTTATTTATGTAATTAACACTATTTGCAATGTATTTTGAAGATATAATAGGGATTTACATTTATTAATAAATTATAATATATTGATATAAATATGTAACAAATAAAATGGATAAGTAAAATAAAATTAAAATAATAATAATAATAATAATAAAAGTAATTGTTGATATATTTTTTTTAATTTTAAAAATAGTTTAGTATGCAAGTTGAGACATTGTTTACTTTTAAAAATATTTTGTATATCTATTTTCTGAAATGTAATTATATAAAAGTTAATAATGAAGTGATTGCTCTATATTGTAATAGGCAGTAAGTAGAAGTCATGCAGTAAAATTGGAATGGATTACAAAAGAAGTATTTATTTGAGATTTAACAATTTAAAAATATAAAGTTATGATTATTTTATTCAATTTTTCTAGAGTTGCAGGCTGCAAATAAATACATTTTGGTTGGATTTATCAGGGATTTTAAACTGAAATCTCAGGTCAAGGAAATGAAATTTACTCGAACAATGATATTGGTTGACCGAGTACTAGAGGTTGGTTTATGATCTGCGTTTACGAGCATGAGATAAATTTCTCTGGTTAATCTAATATTGGTGAGGTCAATTTATCAGTATGATGCGTGTATAGGCATGGTTTTTTTCTGAGTGTTGGCGTTATGATTTTGTTCTAATATAATACTACAAGTGAATTTGTTAATGAACTTTCATAGCAAATAAATAAAACTCTAAGTTCGAACATACAAGTCAAGTACGACTTTGGGTCAATTGGCTAATGAACACTGACTTTGAGCTTCAAATTTGGTAGGATACCAGTCCAAACCTTGTTTAAACTGGTCTCAAAAAAACCTTATAGTCTCAAAAAAATTATTTTCGAATAACTAAATATAAGAAATAATTCCAAGACCACCAATAATAGATTTTTGGCAACAATTAAAATAGCTATATGGTCAAACAAAAATTCAATTAATTATAAAATAGTAAAATTTTATTGTTTTAATACTATTCGAAATATTTTTCTATTAAACAATTTTTCTTTCTATTATTTAACAATAAATAACATTTAACAGAAATTAAAAATTTGTAAAAAAATAAATGCTAAATTATTACTAAATTACTATGTATAGTAAATAATTGGTATATATGTATAACAGATTGGTATAAGAATAACCTATATAAGAGAAAATAGATAATGAATATTAATAATAGAAATAAATAAAAAATATATACTGAATAAAAATATAATTTTAAATTGCTATATCTTATAACTTATTAGTATAAGAATAATCTATATTAAAGAAAATTATCTATATAATGAATATAAATAATATTAAAAATAACAAAAAAATACATGCCAGATATGAAAATAATTTCAAATTTGTATATCTTAAATATGAATTTAAATAATAAAAATCGATAAAAAAATGAACGTTTTAAAAAATAATATTTATTTATATTTAAGTACAATATAGATTGATATGTCTTATAATTATAAATAAAATTGTAGAATATAAAAATTAACATTAGACAATTTATTTAACAAAAAATAACATTTAACACGAATTAAAAAGTTGTAAAAGCGTTGTACATCAACCTCTCCTATTATTTAATAGGAAGAGGTAATACATATAAAAATAAAATAAATAAAGTCAAATAGAAAACATTAAACCACTCCCTCGAAAGAGCAACGAAGTCCTTGTTAAATAAAATAATAATAAAAAGTAATGGTTCATAATTCAGTTCTTGGAAATATATAGACAAAGCCATTGGTATTTACGAATTATACACTCAAAGGTACTCTATGGTTTTTTTACAAAATTTCAAGTGAACAATGTCCTGCTGAAGGTTTGCGTCAATTAGTAAAATTGTTTAAGTTATTTAATTAATGTTAGCATAAAGGCCAAAACTAATTTTTATAAATAAGTAAAACACATATATTCTAATAGCTAGAGCTCTTCCTAAATGCTTATTGTTTTGTATTGTTTGTATATTTCGTACATTTTGTGAACCTGACAGAAACAAATTATTTTAAGTGTATGTTTTACATACATTCAACATTTATAATGTATCACTTAATTCATACTTAGTTGGCCCTTATTTATACAATATGACTGCATTTCAGCTGAACACGCCATACTTAGAGAACGGACAAGTATCTATAATCCCCAATGGCGTTGCTCCTACTTTACTAATAATTAATGAAACCACTTGTATTGTCATGTGTTGGACGGCTTTGGTCGTTGCTTGAAGGTTAATAGTAGACGAAAGTGCCTCCAACTCCTCCGTTCAACCGCTTCGTAGTAGGGTTCGTTTATGGTTTGATGTCAACATAAATATTTGCACCGAATAAATTGCGTTGCAGCACAAAAATTATCAATAAAAATAAATAAATTTTACAAATAAGTTGCCTGAAATCTGTATATTTTTCTTATAAAAGTGACACAATACAATTTTATTGTATTCATAATATTAAGAGCAATTTTAATTTAACATCAAAAATATTGCTTCACACAAACACTTATAAGCTCACAAGGATAATAATAATAATAACACAAAAAAAAACAACATAATTTTTTTATTAATTTGCAACCCAACAATTTTCTGCTTTAAAAAAAAAAATGCTTCAAATTTTCCACAATCTTTTATAAAATTTTTAAAACACGAAAAATGCCTCAATTTGTTTGCTTTAAATTTGCTTCGATGTTGATTGTTGCTTAATGTAAACATTTTATAAATTCCTACTAATTTTACTAAAAAAATTTCATTTAAAAAATTTTTCATTTTTGAACTTACACAAAAACTTTTATTTTTTAATCGGATGCAAACGAAACCAATATTCCCAGATATTTTCAATTAGGCCAAACAACTAAATTAAAAAAAAATCGAAATAAATTTTTTATAATTTTTTTTTATTTAAACATATTTTTTTTTAAGTAGCAATTTGCTTCTACAAACAATTATCCAAACTTAAACATATAAACTGACTTGTTCTTTTTTCAATATCTTTTTTCGTAAACTACGATTTAAACTACACTCAATCTATTACATTTACAACAACAAATTTGGAAATATATTTAATAACACACCCAGATCCGATATGATGACGAGGACGAGGATGAAGGTCCACAACCGGATCCTACACTTGAACAGGGTGTGCCCATACCTGTTCGACTGCAGGGCAGCTTCCCGCCGGAACTGGCCTCCACTCCTCTCGAGGATATTGATCCATTCTACAGTAATATACTGGTAAGCTAAAGTTTTATATTAATTTATAATATATTTATATAAAATTTTTGACCTATATTTCAATATAACCGGGCTTAATTTTAATTTAACCAGGCTTAAGGTCGATTATTTAAACACTTAATTTATTATTGAGTTGGAAATATTAATATTACTTATAAAGTAATAATTGTTATTATTATAGTTAATATTTAATTAATATTAATTAATTAATACTATTATTAATATTAATTAATATTAATATTAAAATTAATTAATATCAATTTATTTATTATTAAGTTGTTAGTATTAATATTACTTATGAAGTAATAATAGTTAAAATTATAGTTAATAAGTTAATATTTTATTCTTTTATTTGTGACCAAAAATATTATATACTAATTTATTAGCAGGCTAATTGGTCATTTAAATAGAAATAAAAAAAATATGATATATATTTAACAATAAATTATATTTTATTAAAATATTTTTCTGAAGATAAAACGGTTTCCCTGAAAATGACAAGTAAGGACAGTCGAAATATCGGAAAAATATTTTAATTAAATATAATTTGTTTTTCAATATAAATAATAAATTATAGTTTTTTTATTTCTATTTAAATTACCAATTAGTCGCTAACAAATTATTATATTTATGTTAATGAGTTAATATTAATATTGCTTAATAATTTTTATTACTTTTTATTATTACCTATTACTACTTCTTAATATTAATATTATTTATTAAATAATATTAATACTAATAAGTGTTACTTGTTATATATTAAGTTGTTAAAAAATCGATTTTAAACCCTGTTAAATTAAAATAAATTTTTAATGTATAAAAATTAATTACTACTTTTAATAAAAAATAAAATAAATTATATGTTTATAAATAATAATAAAATAATAAAAGAAAAAATAATTTTCACTAAATAATTTCACTTCTTGATTAGAGAAGGCTTGCTACCTAAATTCTGTTTAAGGTTAACACCCACGTCATTCCATATGTAAACTAAATTTCTTACTTTAATACTTGATATATATATGTATATATATCTTATGACAATACTGTAAATATGCTTTATAATCATTTGTTTTAGCATAAAACTGGAAGGATATTAAATTTCTTTACTTTCATTGATTTCGGTAAACAGTAGACTTTTAAAAAAAATGCAATTTTCTGCTCCCTTAAAAGTAATATGAATCGCTTTTATTTTTGCTTCAGACAACAATTGATGTATGGGCTGAAGTCTGAAGTCTTAATTTATATATGCACTTTGAAAATTGCTTTGGTGAAAAGTCAATAATTCGAAAATAAAAAAAAATGATTTATGTCACCCATAAAATGGATATCAATAACACTATTAACTTATGGGTATGTAAATTAAATAAACTGTCAAAAGTAGAGCAATGAATGTCCACAGTTCCATTATTGAAATGTGATCAAATTAGCAAATAAATTATTTGCACCGTCTGTTAGCCAGAGAAAACAAAGAAAAATCAAACATATTATTTCAAAAAAAGATTCTCTCTTCGTTATAAAATTCACTTTGTTGTAGATATTTTCAAAATTTTTATAAATACAATTTAAAAACCTTTATATAAAACGATTAAATGCAAAATCACACTGTGAATGATTTGCCTTACTAAATTTAATGAATATAATGAAATAATCTCCATTTCTATTAAACTTTACGCAAATGTAAATAGGAACAGAAAACAGTCAACTGTACCAAACAAAGAAATAAATAAAACAGAATTAAATAAAGAAATAAAACAAAAAAAGTGCCAGCTTACTGCACCAAAAAAAAAAAGTCATTCTGTTTTTCTTGCACAAAAAATTACTGTGAAATTACTGAAACTTTTGAATAAGTATTTTAAATGTGAAAAAAATTCTTAAGTTAAAATAAAAAAACACACATTAATATACAAACCTTCTTAGCGTGATTGTAGTAAAAATAATTTTTATAAATAAAAAAAACTGAAGTATATAATAAACATTTAAAAGAAATATATCACTTCGTTCCTCTTACGCTAACGAAGGATTGTATTTTTTCGTTTTAAGTAACATGTTTTCTTTAAAGTTGGTACATAGTTGTGCTATATCCATAAGGATTCATCCTATTGTCTTTCTTCCTCTACGTTTACTTACCACAGTACTCAAACTTTCACTACGTTAAGGACATCTTTCGGAATAAGTATACACCTCATCTTCGCTGTTTTTATATAATATATTTGAAATGAAGCATATGGATCTTCACATAACTATCTAAAAATATATCGTTTATATATAATATATAATATAACATATAATTTATGTTATATATATAAAAAAATTTTCCGCAATTAATAGTTTTACTAATATTGCTAATACTGAATAAGATATAACCGAAGTGTCTTTATTTAATTATGAGTCATACTGTCATTGGGAAATATATTATAGTTATAGTGTTGTATACTGTTATAATAAAATACCTTTGTGAAATTCTCATTTATAAATTTTTTGCTTTTTTGTGGAGATATTCTGATTACTTCAAAACTGTACTTGTAAAATTAAGGTTAAATTTAAAATCAATGTATAAACTATTTAAAGTTCTTCTTTATAAGTGTTTTCTCGTTATTTAATTTTATAGTTGTGTTATACTTTGTTTAAGTAGTTCACTCCAATTGCGTCTTCCACCAATGGTTTCATTAGTTTTTAACTTCTTGAGTCAAAATCTCTTCCATAATAGAAATGGGATTAAGCGTTTGACACTTGTGTTCGCGTATTTTTCTGTACATGTATAGGCATTTTTATTCTGCAGTTCACTTCTAAAGTAAATAATAAAAAATCTGGTTTTTATTCTGAGGTTAAGCTATTAAAACCAAAACTTTTTTGTTTTTAGTGTATACTTCACCTAAATACCTTTTAGTTAAGTTGTAATTATATCTAAATTACATTTAGATATAAGCTCAATTGATATACTAATTTATATTTTCTAACCAATACTATTTTCATACATAAATAGAAACTGGCTTTTGGATTCTGTTCTGGGACTGGAATTAGGTATCATCTACTAAAATTATTCTTTATCATTGCCGTTTTGTACTCATTATTATACATACTTATTTGTAATATTTCTAACTTTACTATCTGCTGAGAAAACTCAATACCCGCGTCTTTTATTAATTGCCTTATTTGACAAACACCCATATAGTATACATTATTATTATACTATTACTATTTATGTATTTATTGTGAATATGTGGTGTCAAATTATAGTTACCACTATAAGTAACTTTATATCAAATATAGTTCCCATATATGACTGCGCATATGATATGTATGAAAAATGTGTCTTATCTACTACAATTTAAACACTTTGGTTAGTTTAAGATGTATTCTTTCCAGATGTTCAGAAGATGTGTACATATCATGTGTATGCTAACCGCAAAATAGGCCTCCAGTTAAGAAGTTTAATATGCACGTGCTTTCTAGTCAAAGTTCATTTTATAGACACAATGGATTATAATTTATTTAAATAATTCAACTTTAGTGAGATGTTTTCTAGGACCATATATGTTACATTTGTTTATTTTATATGACTTATTTCGTATAAGTAAAAGAGTAACACTATCTTAACTTAATACTCTTTACTTTAATGTATAAGTTTTTAAATTTCTAGTCTACGTGTGAACGATAATACTTTGCTGCAGACTGAATAACTAGCTATTTAAAGATTAAGTTCAAAAATTTTAGTGAATACTTATTTATAGGTCATGATGAATAATTTTCCGGCGTTTAATGGTTTCCGTTATAACTAACAATCCTATTTTCTACATCTCAAAGTCGACTTATTTATTGTAGAGACTAATAGCGTCTTTGATTGGTAAATCTGAGGTAGTTTTTTCAATCGAGATACTCTTTTAAAGCATTTTTATTGCATTTTTTTTAGTGAATCTTAGGCAAAATGTAAAACACTTGAGATTATTCTATAACACTCTAGATATTTTGCCAGAGTAGCAAGATTATCCTGAAATTAACAGCTGTTTTATATGATATGAAGTGTGATTTGATATATAGATTTAAGGAAAAATATAAATCTCTACTAACACTACTACAAAAATGTTTAATTGGGCACTAAATTTTAACAGATCGAGAGTAAATCTAGATTGCATCCAGAATTACTAAAAGAAAACTCCATAAATTTAGATTATTCTTCACTACCTTCTGCGTGTATTGATACTGATAATCGCGACTTACTTTGGAATTTTCCTTTCAGATTTCTACTATTAGACTACTATTCTACATTGCATTCTGTATGTGGACATACTGACAGCAGAGATAAATTTTTAATTTCCTTTCAGGTTATTAGGTTTGTTCTCCTTCTTCAATTTTTTGTTAGAATAATACTAGTGATATTTTGATACTGAAATTTTCCTTTCTTTGTTATAATTATTAAAAAAGTTTTGCTCCATATTGTCATATTATATTATTACAGGTACTATTGAACGTAGCTGTATGGCTTCTTTATTACGTCCTATACATTAATTCTTTTCTTTTGTGAGGAAAAATTACTATATTATGTCTTAATAGTTCGGTAAGCAATTTTATTTAGTTGAGCCCGAAATTCTAATTTATACACCCGAAATTACTATCATGTAACCATAGAATGTAAACCTGCAGTTAACCATGTTTAGTCTATAAGTTAAGGTCTGGAAACTTAAAAATTGATAATACTGATTTATATTTGAAATATTACAAAAAGTCAAGAAAATCTCTATATAAAAAGACCTCTTTAATTATAAACTATTTCCACAAAGTTCACTTTCAGGAAGCTTTTTTAAAGCAAGCTATAATAATTTATTAAATACATACGTTAATAAATTAAAAATATTTTTTCTTAATATTTTCAGACGTTTGTAGTAATAAGTAAAGGAAAAGATATTTTTCGCTTTTCTGCATCAAAAGCAATGTGGTTGCTCGATCCATTTAATCCCATACGTCGTGTAGCCATTTACATTTTAGTTCATCCGTTATTTTCGTTATTCATCATCACCACAATTCTTGTTAACTGTATTCTGATGATAATGCCGACAACGCCCACAGTTGAATCCACTGAGTAAGTACACCCAATCTAATTTAATCCTCATTTGTAATCCAACAATAATTAGATAAATATATATATTTTTTTATTTTTCTTTGCATAAAAATATTTATAATTATTTCCAAATGTACTTACATTTATTATTGCCTTTTTTCGATGTATACATAAATATAAATATATATTCAACAGAACTATATAAACATATAATATATTGATTTGTTTTTAAAATATATATTAAATGGTATTTAGGAAAATATATTTTTATGCGTAATTTACTAAAGTTTTATTACATTTTTTTACACCTAAAACAAACCAAAGTATTTTTAAATCTTAAAGTTTTTGTTAACAAATAACGAAAAGTTTCTTTAAAAGTCGTTTCGTTTTTAAGAGAAAAGCCTATAATAAATTTGTTACCAAAATGCAATAAATAAGGTAAATTTGTTAATGAGCAATTTGTAAATTAATATAAATGCATTTACTTAATATAAACTTTATTTTAATACTAACTAGTGCCACTAGTGCACATACTTTAACAAAATTCTTAACATTAGCTCATATCAAAAAAGTCATTCAATAGTCATCACAAATTAATGAAATTCAACTAATCAATGCACGACCGTTGAGATACAATTTCATGCTTAAGTCGTGTTAGATACTTCTTACAGTTCTCGTATACTCATTCTTGTAATTTTATCTCATTTTTCATTAAAAATTTGTTTCAAATTTGCTGTGAGAGCAATGTGAAATTCTGTAAATTTACTGTAAAATAATTGATTAAGTAAAACTATTGAAACACTCATTGAAACTACAATGGTTTGTTATATAAATATTAACTTTAGAATAATAGTCAATTAATTAAATATATAACCTTTTATAGAATATTTACATACACTTCATATAGCTTAGCATATTACTAAATTATGTATAAAAATCAAATGATAAAAATTTATTGATTAGTATAATATTTACCTACTAAAATTTTTAAGTAAACAGTTGTTTATTCAGTAGTGAAAAATAATAAAATATATAGATTTATTTTGATAAACAATAATGACGTAGTTGTACAAATATAGCAATATTACAATATTTATAATATTTTATATATATAGTTAATATTTGAAAAAGTAACCATTTAATGTAATAAAACAATCCCATAATGTTAACAAATATTATGTAGTTTTATATTTAACCTTAGCTCTGTTAATATCATATAGTAATATTTAATATAATGTATATTCGTATACATATACATATATATATCATGTATATCGTAAAGTTTTTATTACAGTAGAGAAAATTTGTAATTTATAATAGTAATATATAAAATTACACTAATTTTAGAAATGTTATCAAACACTAAACACACAATGTCTCGAAGCTTTGAGTAAGAGTAACTATAATTTCTTTTTTATTTTGTATTTAAAGTATTAATAACCATTCATTTTTAATATACAAACGATTATTTATTTTGCAACTTAAAAAATCATATTTATATATAATATACCTGAAATTCATTAATTTGTTTTTCATACACATTAAAAAAAATAACATAGAATAATAATATCAGAACGAAGGACCTAGCAGTCCCATTCCTTATTCTTAGTTAACTTCAAAATTAATTTTTATCAATTAAACAATTAAAACAAATAAATAAATAAATATAGAATAAATAATAATAAAGTAAAATATTTTTTTTTTAATCTAGAGCGTGATTAAATATAAAGTTAAGTTACTAGTGTTCTGTTGATTTGAACAAAAATAATCAATATTTTCGATATTAAATATTAATTAACATAATTTTTTTTTTTTTAATTTTACTCATAGGTTACTAGGGTTTTGTTGATATTAAACAAAAATAACCAATATTTTTGTTATTAAATATTAATTAACATAATTATAATTTGTTTTAATTTTACTCATACGTATAATATTAAGTTACTAGTATTTTGTTGATAACTAAAAACAATATTTCAATTAACATAATTATAATTTTTTTTTAATTTTACTTTCTTTTGAATCATTAATCAAAAAGAGTACGTAAGATATAATAATTTATAAAAGTGCCAAAGTGTAATTACATATAGCTTATAGAAGATTCTCCATTTAATTTTCTAAATATACAAACAATTTTCATTACTGATTTTTTTTAAAAAGATATTATCATCTATTTCAGTAAAAAAGAAAAATAAGTGTTTAGTACATCACAGGGTTTCTAAATCGCTAATTTATGTACCTCTATCGAACACCACCGGTCCTTAATTAAAATATAAATTAATAAATACAGGAGCGATTATTTTTATTATCAATAAGTAGTTAAGTAAATAAAAGTATACCACACATATTAAATTGAAGTTTTCGAGTTAAGTTAAAGCTTATTTTCAAGAGCTGAATATAAAATTATTTGTTTCCATTATATTACTTTCGGTATACGATACGATATATAATAATACGCTATATTAATCTAGCTTTACGATATCATATTTTCAAAAACCATTACTACCCGTCCTTGTAAGAGACATCGAATATTCCTTATTGTTCCAAATCGTTTTAGAGTAATTACCAGGGCGGTTTGATAAGTCAGTGACTTTTTGAATAAAACAAATTTTTTCCGTAAATAAATATTTTATTTTTCTACATAATCACCTTTTAGTTCGATACATTTAGTCCAGCGTTTTTCTAATTTTTTTGTTCCCTGCAAATAATAGCTTTCCTCAAAGTTCTCAAAATACGCGTTTGTTTCGGTAATGACTTCTTCATTCGACTCAAATCTCTTACCGCCCAGCCAAAACTTTAGGTTTGGAAACAGAAAATAGACGCAGGGGACTAAATCTGGAGAATATGTTGGATGGGATAGCAGTTCGTATCCCAATTCGTGGATTTTGGCGATCAAGTGTGCACACGTGCATTGTCTTGATGAAACAGCACTTCCTTCTTTACCAAATGCGGCCGTTTTTGCTTCAAATCAACGTCGAATCTGTTCAAAAGCTTTGAATAATATTCGCCGGTAGTCGTTTTACCTTTCTCGAGGTAATCGATGAGAATGACACCGCTTGCATTCCAAAAAACTGTGGCCATAACCTTGTTGGCTGACAGACTCTATTTGGTCTTCTTTGGTCCACGTTCATCCCTAGCAACCCACTGTTTCGATTGTTCCTTGGTCTATGGCGTGTTGTGATGGATCCATGTTTCGTCCACAGTTACAAAACGGCGCAAAAACTCGTTCGGCTTACGGCTGAACATCGCTAAACACTCTTTTGAATTGGTCACACGATTGTCGAGTGTGAGCAATCGCGGCACCCATATCGCGGAGAGTTTTTTCATATCCAAATATTTGTGTAAAATATGATGTACCATTTCAGATGAGATACCTACAGCACAGAAAGTCAACTCACGCACTTTCATTCTCCGATCATCCAATATCATTTCATGGATTTTATCGACGATTTCCGTTATGATCACTTCTTTTGGGCGACCTGAACGTTCGACGTCTCTAGTGCTAATACGTTCACAACGGAACTCTGTAAACCATTTCTTAACCATTGAAATTGATGGTGTCGAGTCCCCGTAGTATTTATCAAGTCTTTCCTTAGTTTCAGTGATGGATTTTTTGCGTGAAAAGTAATGCTTAATCAGCACACGAAATTCCCTTTTTTCCACTTTTTTTCTTAATTATTTAATCTATCTTAAATATAATTTTCCTCGATTTATAAATAGTCTTTCTTAAAAGGTTTATTGCTTTAATGAAACAATTTTAGACACACATAGATGTATAGACTGATTCTGCTCGTCGAGCTGTCAAAGAATATAATTATCTATTTTATAGAGAATTCTACATTTTTTACTCATTCCAACTTAGTAACAATCCCAAAATATCAGTGTAGTTTTAATGAAATAGAAAACGAGGTGGTATAATGCGATTTGAATTAAACCTTAAATTACAAAACTGAACACTTTTCAAAGGCTTTTATATTTTTTCATTTACAAAGCTTTATAATTATAAACTTATGCATTCGGTGCATTTAATATATCATAGGTGAGATGTATATTATATAATATCATAATAAAATCAGAAATAATTCGTATATGATCACTTTTGTAGTTTTTGCTATCACTATTTAAAAGCAATTTCTATAAATATATGTTTATTATTAAGGTTATGATGTTCATAATATTTAATATAAAAGTAAAAATACGAGTCGTTACGACTCTTCTGTTGTTGATCCTTTTCATGTAACAAATATTTGTCTCTGGCAACAATTCTGCCTATAAATGCAGAATGCGTCCATAATAAATCCATTTATTGCAATAAATGACAATTAATATGATACTTTCAAATTGAACGAGTACTTTTTTCCATATGATTTTTATATATTATAAAGTTTAAATTATCTTAATAAAAATAGTTAAGATTAAAAAACTATGATCACATTTTATTAATTCAAAAATATGATATAATTATATATGCATGTGAATAAAGGTTTTATTTTATCACATCCTCTCACTTCTTAGGATCACCAGTATGAACTTACTCAATATGCACCCTCACTCTACGTTAGGCAAATTCTCTTACACATACATAGAATGATATAGGAGACCCCTAAATTATACATAAGGTATTTTTTAGCTGCATGAGAACTTAAAATGACAATGCAAGATAGAATCATTATTAAAATGAAATTTTTTTTATTATCTTGTAGATAGTTTCGTGACATTTATTTTTTAAATATGTCAATTATATGTCCGCCTGACAAATAGTTAAATGATCCATTAAATCAATCCAATTTTTTAATATTTTTTTGCAATAAATGTAGCAAAAATCATTATTTAAATATCATTTTAATAATGATATTTCGACATTCATTGGGGGGACAAAGTACCTTAAGTCCCGCTAAGAAACATTCACCATATATATTTTTACTTTTAAAGGCTGACACTGTCGATGTCCGCTTAGAGAGCTCCTGCTGTAGCTTATGTGTGTGGGAAGTGTGATCTTATGAAATACTAAATTTAACTTT